GCGAACGGGGAGCCGCACAAGAGCAGTGAAGACCTAACCTGAGAATCTGCAGAAGATGAAAAGGGAAGGACCTTCAAAGAAAACTAATTACACGTACCTTGAGGGTATACTTCTGAAATGGCATCCCAAAGCGCTTTATTATCTAGGCGTTTCCGGAGTGCGGTCAGTGAGCGCAACACCCGGATGGTAAACCTAGGTTCGAGTGTGGACACCGCTCTCTCGATGAGCGTGACGTTAGATTTTATTTCGGATACAGGTGATAGCGGGTTAGTGGAACATCGTCTTTAGCATCACTTTTGCTCTTCGCGTCTTTCATTTCGACGTCGGCCATGGCGAGTATTGTGGTATGGTACGGTACGGGGGCAATCACAATCACTTTCAGTCGGGACGCGTCACAACCTACGACGCGTCACTCCTTTTTTGCGATAGGCGCTAGCAAAATATAAACATATTCATTGAACCTCCGATGAAGACTCGGTAGCTCAGTGTAGAGCATACCGATTGCAGATCGTGCGGTCCCGTGTTCGAACCACGGTCGGGTCTCCATTTTTTACTATTTATTATTTATTTTTGTTATTTATTTGGTTTGGTTTGGTTTGGTTTGTTGGTTATCGCTTTCATAAACATATCGTGGTTTGGCTACCGCTACCACTGCACCTGTTCTTCCTCGATTCATCAATAGACAACTCTCGACTATTTTGCCAGCGCATATGAGTCTTCAATCACATCTTTTTAGTTCTTCTTGGTTATACGCAGCTGTACATGCTGGTCAGCTCACTCTTCGGTCACCCCGTTTGACTGTCCTTGGACCTGATGGTGGTCAGCTGCGTTCAGAGCCGTACGCGAGACATCTATACTCCTTCGCTCATACCACATAGAATGACTAAACAGGATTTCCTCACAAAACGTCCCGATCCCGTCACCTTGGGCGCAAGAGATACCCTCAAGCTCACCTTCCAAGTCACTGATCAGACGAATGATACTGGCGTTCAACCGCACCAGACCTTCCTGCGTTTCTTCGACTCGACAACCGGAGAGGAGGGCATCCAGCCCGTCAAAGTCGTACCTTCCGGAAAGGCGAAATTCGAATTGGTGTGGTGTTCGCAATTCGCTTTTTTCCCCTTCACCGTTTTTTACTAACCTCATGGGTGGTAATCTCTAAAATCAAAACAATACCAAAAAAAAAGAGTATGGCAAAACCTCCAAGTTCTCTCCCGCCCTCTGGCACCGCACCACTTCACGTCTCTCTTCTACTCGGCTCTTTTGTGCACAGCCCCGCGGCACTCGACCTCTTCGACCTCCACATCCCGCCATCCGCACCCGCGCCGGTACACCCAGAAGAGTCCCTCTACCACCTGCTCCCCGAGCTCGCGCATACCTTCCGCTCGGAGCCGAAATTGCCCCCTCGTCCCATCTCAGCGTTCTTCGCCGCGCTCGTCCTCAGCCCATGGGTTGTCCTCGTTGGACTGGTGCGTGTGGCATCATTGCCCGTTTCTTCTTGCTTGGCTCCTATGGATTGCTCACTATATCTTCATCCCGTTCAAAGTGGGGTGCCGTGCGCCCGGGCGTGTCGCGCACCTCTTCTCACCGAGCGTCCTCTCTTTTGTGCTTTCCCTCACTCTTATCGAGGGCTTGCTACTTTGGTACTGGATTGAACTTCGTCTCGGACACATCCTCCTGTATGGCTCTGGTGCCGCCGTACTCACAGTCCTCACGGGGAAGCAAGCCCTTGCAGGTATTGCCGCACGCAGGACTAGTAGCAAGTAGTCATGTTGCGCTGGGACCTATCTCAAAATGCATCCACTTCTTCCTTGAAAGTTCGCTGTCCCGGATCGGAAGGGCCTTACGATCCTACAAGTCTATGTACAGACACCTAGTTTGGAGATATTCAATAGTGATGTGCTGAGTCCGTTCGGTACAGATCCCGGACAGCCTCGGGTACCACCCTACGACCTTTGTCAGACTGGTCTTGGCCTGGCTTGGGTATTGAGCCGGTTATTTGACAACTTTTCCGCAGCTAACCGGCGCAGCGGATGACCCCTGTAAGTGCTCTTTGCCAGTGGGGCGATCAATGGATGAGCTTCCGTGTTGAAAACATCTGGGAACATTTAACATCTGCTCTCGAGTTGTACTTGCGAAGCACTTACAGTCATTGAGACTAATGTGGTCTGGGTCATCAATGTAAGGTACCTGCAGGAAGCATTGAATCAACTTAACCGTGGGTTATGGAGACGAGCGCACAGGTACTTTAGTACTTCTGCAAACCAGAAGCTTTGGGTCTCATCACCCTTGGTCGTTGCTTTGCTATTGACGTCTTTGATGCCCGCAAAGCCCGTCGACACGTTGAGATACGTGTTGAAATTTTAACAGCGCTCCTGGCGCGATCTATGTATGTGGGATTTCCGGTCACACGCCAAGCATAGAAGTTACTTTCCAGGACTTCTGGGCGTTGAACATAACCTGCGCCGGTGATGTAGTAACCATGCTGGCTGTAGAACTGGAGTTGACTCCTCGGGACGTCGTCGGTGCTTCCCGTGTAACCACCATCGGAAGATGCGAAGGCGAATGTGTCTGGACCAATCCCGGTGCTAAGGTAGCCCGCCCGCGTGAGCCCGGTTGATAAAGCTAAAGCAAGACTATAAACTATTTGCTCACGCGTCCCAATGTAGGTGTTCCAACAAGCATCATTTAGCTGGAGGGCCAAACTGACGATGGTGTCGTTGTTAACCAGTTTGCCACCTGAATCGTCATGGATATCTATGACACTGGGGTTCTACTTGCCATAGCTGTGCTCTCACCCAGTAGCCAGTTCCCTGCGTGGAAACAAGCAAGATGAGAACCCACGTGCCGAATCAACCCCCGATCATCCAAGTCCGCTAAGTACACATGATGACCAACAGTGGACTCCTACTCAGCGCATTCGTCTATTAGTGCGGAGCGCTCAATATGGATGAGGCTTACTTTCATTAAATACTTGATGGACGAGTCGACAGCTGTAACCCAAGTGTCCACGAAGGCGCCGTCGTCCGTATTCGAAAGGCGAGCATACTTAATCAGATATTCGAAGTAGCTATCCGAGCCACCACCCAGGTCTGTGGAAAGGAGATTGGTTGAACTCAAGTCTAATGAAATGACGCACGACATATCCTCCGACGGGCTCACCCGTGGAAGGGCTAATGCGCTGTGCAGGAAGACCTGCCACGAAGGTTAGGGGACACTGCGGCGTGGCCACCCTGAGGCTCACCTGGGAGTGGCGCAGGCTTGATGATAGCTAGAGTCAACCGGCGCACACAAATGACGTTAGACCTACGTTGTTCGCTATTTTCAAGGCTGCTGCCTCTGCGAGTTGACGGTATCTATCATCTCCGGTATATTGGCTCAGGCGTGCCCACTCCAGGGTTAGCTAAGGGTGGTAGGAGGTGAGTTGCGCCATCTGCATGCTGAAAAATACCGCGTACCGTCCCTGCTTCAGCGATGTTGGACTACACAGAAGGCGTTAAAACGAGTATGGAGAGGAAGACAAACTTCACGTTATCTTTAACAGGCGAGCTCGTATTAAAGTTCACATAGCCATAAGGTATGGCACCACCCTGAAGCGACTGGGATTGGTACTGATGGATCTCAAAGAGTCAAAAGTAAAGCACCGACCTGGGTCCAGGCGACAGAGAGCTTATCGGCGAGTTGCTTTGCCCTGTCCACCAGGAATAAATACCTCTGCCCGCTAAGTTCATACGCGCTCAGAAGTCCCCCAATGTATCGAATGGTGCTTTCAAACACGCTTAAAAACAATCCAAGTAAGTGCAGACTAGTTGGAGAGCAGTGCGATGCGCGGCTGTGTATGTGTAACATTGACGACTATACCTAACAGTAGCCGGGGTCTTGGACTTCGAAAAGTCAATAGTCTGAACGTATCCAAGTGCTTCATCGAAATAGTCCTGTAGGTAGTTTTCCATGAGCATGAGGAGAAAATTTTGGGCGACTCGGTGTAGGCTCACGGTCAAACCCATGATATGCTAGAAAAAGACGAGGGGATTAGAAGGCAAGAAGTTTTATGAGTCATACCATGGTGGACATGGCATCAACTATTGTAGCACCCCAACCATTACGCGGGTCCAAAGGCCTTCGACTCAAAGGAGCGACTTGGTCGTGACCGAACGCGTATGTCCTGTCACGAAATAAACCGCATGCACTGATCCGACGCCCGGCATACACTGACCGATATGCGTCGTAACTACTGTTAAATATGGCGATCACACTTTCACGATCCCGTGTTGTATCATAAGGGAATGTAAGATTAGGATTTTGTACCTGTACGGCCCAGGCGGTGACAGGTATGAAGGCTAGCACAAGAACTGACACGGATATCATAAATATAAGATAAGGGAAGAGGGAGAGTAAGAGGGAGAAGGGTATGGTATGGGTATACTGGTTTACGAGACCACCCTAAGCCGAACGTAAATGGTATAGATATCTCCTTAAATGTTTTCAAAGGAGGCCAAGGTTAAGGTTAAGGCCAAGAGACAGAGGGCTTACGGCGGGTAACGGTCCCGGTCGCAAGACAAACTTGTTAGTAGTCGAGGGGATGAGTTGGCCACTGCCGTAGGTTGACTCGGCTTTTGGAGCTAACAACGGATGTGCCTCGGTATTAAAGACATCTGGAAATCATATTAAGTTGTGCTCCCCCTGAACCCATTGGAAAGAATAAAAGCTCACAATCGTCGAGGCTAATATGGCTTGGGTCATCAAAGGTGAGGTATCTATAAGCACAGAGGTCATCTATGCTGAGCTGGTATTAGGGAACGAGGATCCCACTTACAGATACTTAAGCACCTCCGCAAACCAGAAGCTCTCAGTATCGTCAATCCTTTCGACCCGGGGGTTGTTCACGTCATCGATCCCAGTAAAGCCCGTTGGTGTAGACAAAAAGGTTTGGAAACTGGCGACTGCACTCTGTGCACGTTGTAGATAAACAGGGTCGCCCGTAACACGCCAAGCATAAAAGTTACTCTCCAACACTTCAGGGCGCTGGATATAGACTGCATCAGTGATGTAGTAACCGTGCTCCTGGTAAAAAGCTAGCTGATCGCCGGAGGGATTGCTACCTCCAGTGAAGTTCCCGTCTGAGGAAATATACGCGAATACTTCTGGGCCGATCTTGGTTCTAAATCAAATTCAGCCACGACGATGATTGCAACGACGAAAAATACATACGCATCACCTGCGTACGTATTCCAACAGGCATCGTTCAGCTGCAAAGCGAGGTTGACAATCGTGTCGTTATTAGTCAGCTTCCCACCTGGCGCAGTTGCGTTGGTTCCGTGATTAGCAGCAAGGACAAGGACTTGTCAAAGCGGAATTACCAAGCAACCAATTTCCAGCGTAGAAGCAGGCAAGATGTGATCCCACATGACGGATACGTCTTTGATCATCAAAGTCCGCCAAGTAGACATGATTTCCTATGGTTGAAGTCTACACGGTTGTGAGCGGTAAGTGTAACACCGTGGATAAGCATGATCCAGCTGACCTTGACCAGAGTTTTGATC